ATAATGCATCTTATACAAGGCCTGTCTACTTCTCATTTAAGAATGTCACAGCCAGCCACAGTAATTGACAGATTCATAAACTATTGCTTAAGGTGCATCATCAAACCTAGCTCATCTTAAAAAATTGAACCTAGCCCGCCTTCAAACCTAGTAGTATAGCAAAGCAACCAATTTAAAAGGAGGTACTAGTTAATTGTTTTTTTAAATCGGCATGAAGAACTGGGTACTTTTTACTGGATTATCTTCGTACTGCATTTTTAGCTGATGGGTACTGTTCCCTTGGTTGTCAGATCTAAACTTTATAAGAAAAGAACATGTATAGTTATTTTAGCAAGTATGCATATAAGCATCCCGAAACAACACATAGAAGAGGGTATGTGTTGTCTCAGGATCCATACATGTGCCGCATCCTACCTCATGCATTAACACAATCTTCACTGCACACTTTTCAAGAAAAGCTAATTTCACATTAGCTCCGTCTCAATCCGGTACTACTTCAGAATTCGAAGAAATTTAGAGAGGCAGATCACACTTTGTTTTGTCTAATGCCAAATTTTAATTGTACACCATGAAGCTGCAAAGTTGAGAGCCGTCCAACAGATTTCTGAATTTAATTAGTGTGACTACTTGTTGGAAAGAGATCATCATCATATGACAAAACAAATATCCAATATATGTTCTCATCACATCACACAACCAAGATGTGCAGTCAAGCATGAGGTTGCAATGCAATGCAAGAACAAAGGATCATGGTTGGTTGGGTGGGTTGTGGTCACATGTGACGAGGACGGTGAGCCCGGCGGCATTCTCTGCTCCGCCATGGACAGACTGACGCCTGACTTGCCGGAGATGAGCGACAAGATACCCATTTGGTCCTCAATCGACTCCCTAACAAAAGTGAGTCCATAAATAGGAGGTAAAAGAAAGAAATGGAACAGAGTTTGAGTCCCCAAGAACCACATAACAACCAATTCAAAAAAAAGAAAGAGCCACGAATCAATTCTCACCTGATAGCTTGATTGCTCACAAGGGCATAGTGCAAAATCAAATCCATGAGTATGTATGTGTGGGCTTCATCCATAAATATGTGGACAGAATTTAAGCACCGGCTAGAACCACACAAAATCAGATCAAACCATGCAACGGTGAGCTCGTGAGACAGCCATGCTGCAGGTTGGCCTTAGAACACACCAAGGGACCACACAGATCAGCACAATAATTGAATAAAACATGACAACGAGAGCACACCTTGACGCGACATAACAACGAACAGGCTATAAGCGGGTTAACATCAACAACAAATCCATGAACATCATCACAACAAGAACAACCATCTGTACAGCCGCACATGACCAAGCGGCCAACCTGAACTGGAGATGCCGGCCATCTCATTTGTAAAGTCGAAGAGACCGGAAACACACGAGGCAATGACGCTGAGAAACACGCACTTCACATAAAGAGTACCAGAGAATCTTTGTTAACTACCCAGCTAGCACATATCACCAATTTGATCAACACAGAAAGAGCTGTTAGGAATTTCATAACCTGCTTATTCCTTTTCCAGTACCTAGTTGTCTTACTGTACCTACCACATGTGCACACTGTTATTCTGGGAAGGCACCAAAGTAATTACAAGATCGGGTCTAAAAACAGGACTTCCTTCCTTGGCATGCACCAAATTGGGTAACACCACGGCCATGTCATTAATCTTTGTGGATGGTTTATTTTCCTCTCGGGGCAACACTAACCTGATTTTTACTGGACAAATAAAAATTACACAGGAACCAAATCTAACAAATTTTGCACCATAGGCCGACGCTAAACACTGCGTCACCAGCTGATTAATTCCTTGAAGGAACCTAACGGATGTAGCTTGCTCCAACGATCTACTATTTCAATTAGGCTCATCGGTTCTTGCTTACAAAAAAACAGGGTCCATGCTGAAATTCAACCCAACTTAGAGCCCTACCACTTGCATAACCAACACGAAAGTAGCACCATCATGGTGACGACGCTCGTGAAATTGGCAGCCAACAAGGGAAACTCGATCGACCCCCAAAACAAAAGAATCATGTGTTGGGAGTAATACCTGACGGATGAAGAAATTCTCTCGGTGTCAATACAGCAGTCACGAACACGGAGGACCCGTAGCAGACGAACGCGGCAGCAACTGGAAGGAAGGATCTGCGATGGCGGTGAAGCCCTAGGGGGAATATGGAATAAACGAGCTGGAGGTGGCGGCTCAGATGTACGGCTTTGAGTCACCGGAACCCACGACTGGAAGCCGCGCCAGTTCCCCGCCATGTGGTCCCCAGAGACCTCGACGGAGCACCGGACACCGCAGAGGCTGCGAGATCCCGGGCCTCCATGCCGGCGGCGTCGCGACGCAGACGGGAGGTTTGGCGCCGCGAGACAGAGAAATCCGACGCTGCCGCTGCTCGGGAGCGCGGGTCTGCGCCAAGGGCCGAGCCTCCTCGTCGTCGCCGTTTTACGAGTGGCTGCGGTGTGGCTAGCATCGCACCGGCGGAAGGGACACGAGGCAGGGTATGGAGAAGCAGTGGCCATGGCGGCGGCGGCGAGGGAGAGGGGAGACGATAAGAGGAGGAGAGGTTGCGTGGAGTACGGGGCTGGGCCACATGTGTGAAGCCTTTTTACCGTGACCATCCAAAATTATCGATCGATAAAACAGTATCACTAATGCCCCCGTGGACACGCTCATTGCTCGCTTTTGATGCGCACCTGAATGGTTTTAATGCATGTAAAGCAAAGGGCATATCACTACTGCACCCACTTTAAAGACGTGTACAGTTTATTTAATTTCAAGGAGTACATGATTTACTTCACTAGGGCTGGATCCACGGTATCATCACAAGATACTCTATGATGCATGCGTAAACTTACATTACATGCGATGCATACCAACGTGTACCCTAATCCATTGAACAGGTTAAACTAATAAATATTCGATCGATCGATCGATTATAGTACGTGTTGTCTCGATCTTGCGTATACCTAATTAGCTAGCTAGTGGCTGGCTGGCTGTCGTAAGTCAGAGAGAAAGCTATCGTCAAGACTAATTCAGTTTTGTACATGTTAATTAAGTAGTTAGGCAGGTAGGCTAGACCACACATAGCACCAAATTAAGATAACAAAAATATTACAGAAAATAAATGGTCTTCCTTTTGTCATCTATAGGTACTATATTTCATTGAGGCCGTCATCTAAAATATCTGTATATACGGCATGCACAAGTGTGCATGTTCAGGAGTCAACCGTTTCACATGGATGCTACCTGTCCTCCTGTTTAATTGGATGCAAGACTTTGAGGTACAGATTTGCCCAAAATTAGGTATAGGTTGGACCTGGCTAGGATGAATCCTTGGAATTGAAAGTGGCACGCAAATGGGAGGTCAAGTGGAATGCTAGCTAGCTAGTCCAGAACCTATAGCGCTAGACAAAAAGACAGAATAAAATGGATGGAAACGAGACATCAATTAGGCCTTCGTTGACCACAAACGTAGCAATCAAACTATATACGTATGTAGCAACAGTATAACAATGGACCCAACACTATATTATATCTTCTCTGCCCCTCAAGTAAACACTAGAACCTCCTCCCGTGTTTAATTCATCGTGTCAAAATACTTTACATCCTATAAAGCATTTGAATTTGCAATCGATCGAACTTCTATAACATTGGCTATCAATGTGGGAAAGATTATTAGTCAAATAAAATACTCGTTGCTTCTCAAAATATAAGCACATTATTGTTCATGCGGACAATTCTTTTCAAAAAGAGCGCCTTTACGTCAGGCACTTGAAAAATGTTTTACATCAGCCACTTTCACTCAGGACCGTTAAATCTTCATCCAACGACCAAAAACAGACCGCACACTTTTCATCTTCAGCCTCCCGTTCTTCTTCCTCACGCATCCACCAACCTAACCAGCCCTCCTCCCCCCCTGCCCCCAACACACACTCCCCATCCCGCTAGTGGGCGCTATTGTCCCCTTGACCCTCATTGCCTCTAGCCCCCTCCCCCAACCAGCACCGTCAAGTTTCTGGCTTGCACTCGTGCACGGCACAGCCTCGTCGTGGTCGGTGCTCCTCACGCCGTCCCAGCCTTCAGCCTCACACGAACCGAAAGTGACTGCCACCTAACAAATTGCAGGCGCCTGATATTTAGCAAACGTGTCCAAAGCTTTGACCACTAATATGAGTAAAACTAATAGATTGGGCATATATTTTTGTAGCAAAATAACTCTGGGTCATATATTATTAAGTGAGATATATGGCGCGACACATTCATTAAGTTCATTAAATTTATAACTCTGGGTCATGACTGGCAGCTTTTATTTTTGTTGCAAAATAACTCCGGGTCATATATTCTTTTACTAAGTTTGCACATTTATTATAAGTGAAATAGCGTAACCAAAATAATGCATACATTAGATCCTATTAAAAGGATGCGATGCATTCATTAAATTTATGATAGAAATCATATATTTGAAAATTGCTCACATATTCGAGTATTTTGGAACTGTGCGAGTAGTTACATATCTTCATCCACTTGATAAAAAAAGTTACATATCTTCATCCAAAGAAACACATTTTTGTTGCGAGTCATCCGTAGAAACTTGAAGGTAGAGTACTAGCATGTACATAGGCCTGAATGCCTGATCATCCATTCGTAACAGCTGCGGTGAATCGTGGCGGTTATTTAGAACTCAAGTCGGGCCGAAAATTGCAGACATTTTTTTTTTCTGAATGTACGCAGACAGGTGGAGTCAGAGCGGAGTAGTAACGGTATATAAAGCGCTGGCGACCCATGCCCGCTGTCGTCACTCCATTCGATTCAACCCCCCGTCGATCCCGACGATCTCGCGCCCCGAGAAAAGCTCGCAACCCAAGGAAAGGAGAAGGCGACGACGCGACGACGACGTCGGCATCGAGTAGAAAGCAGAGCAGAGATTTTCCTTGGGGTGCCACGGGAGGAGCCGATGCCGATGCCGGCGCCGGCGCAAGAAGCGGACGACGACTTCACCTTCCCCACGCCGCCGCCGCTTCTCGCCGCAGCCGCGTGCAGCTACGGCCACCACCGCCACAGCAACAGGGTGTCGCCGTCGCCGTCGCCCTCCTCCTCCCCGCTCCCCGCGTGGCTGCTCTCCTCGCCCATCCGCCGCAGCTTCTCCGCCGCGGACTGCGCCGCGTCGCCGTGGCGCGCGGCGCGCGGCAGGTGCTGCTCCCCCGCCCTGAGCGACTATGCCGCCGGGTTCTGTGACGGCGGGGACGAGGAGGAGGAGATGATGGACAGCCTCTGGGAGGACCTCAACGACGACGAGGCGCCGGGCGGGGAGAGGAATGATCTGCTCATCGCCTCCCTCGACGTGTCGCGCCGGCGCTCAATCGGAGGCCCGGGCCACCCCGTCGACGGGAGGAGGCCGACGGCCCCGGCGAAGGAGCGCGAGGCCGCGGCGGTGCTCGCGGCGTCGAGGAGCTCCCGACGGCGCTCCCCGGGGCTGGTGGTGATGATGCGCACGCTCAAGAAGATATTCGTCGCGCACAAGAGCAGGAGCAAAGTGCACAAGGTCGACGAGCAGAGCACCGCCTCTGCTTCTTCCCGCAATTCCTTCAAGAAATGAGGTGCATCATGACTTCATGAGCCGCAGATCACAGTAAAAACAGTTGCACTTTATGATAAATAGCGTGTGGGTCATAATCTTGTAAAGCATTGATTTCTTTTCTTTTTTGAACCCTCGATCGTTGGTTTCTTGATCGAAATATCTGCACAACACAGTGATGACAATCACAGTTGCAAATCGTAGTTGTGTGATACTACCGTGTATCATTATGTACAAGCGGTTATTTGGTTAGATTAAACATGGTTTACATACAGTTGGGGACTGTTTGTCTTTCCCCACTTTGTGCAGCGTGTTCTCATTTGTTCTGATTTGATTCACTACTTGTGTTTTTGGGCTGAGATATATGTGCAGTGATGCAATTTTGTTTTGCTGAAGAACTCCACTCAGCTGCAGACTCACTTAGATTCTTTATTAGAAAAAGTTGCGGCTATATATTTATCAGAAGAAGCTCCTGAGATTGCGATGCATCCTGGTAATGAAATTGTACAGCTTAGGCTTTCCTTGGACGAAACTAGGGGAATTAGGCAGGAGTCATCTATCATCGACCACTCATCTTCCGCTATTAAGCTCGACCAATTAGGAGGATATAGGATACTAAGTTCCATGATCACGGCCAATTAGGGCCAAACCCATTAGCTTAGGTTGGACCGTAAGCACCATGGACAAAGTTAGTTAGGCCATGATAATTGTATATAGCAAAGCTGTCAAGTACTAGTCAATTAGCGATTGTAGCACAAAACAAGGTTGTCTGATTCTTGCATACTACTACTAGTATTTGAGAGGAGAGGCCAACTGCATGTGGGATTCGATTCCAGCTTGCAGACAGATTGTCATTAGCATCGGTAGAATTCTTATCAGCCGAACGTTGCTTCCGATTATGACTTGACGATGACACAAGAGAGTGTAACAAGGCAATGTATTACGTACAAGAGTATTTCACAAATCACAATCTCTGAAGAAGAACACTATGCAGTACTGTACTGCCACATCAGTTTATATGGATTCACACTTGGATCTAGATAGGCGATAGCACTGTACTAGCGATATTCATTCAGTTCGATGGCACTTGCACCGACAGTTTGGCGAATCGTCTAGTATTGGGTACTGGACGGTAGTACGTGTCTTGTCTTGAAGGAAAGGTAACTCAAGGACACCGGACTCGTTCATAGTTTTCAGATTTCACAAGTCTTCGCTGTAGTAGCTTCAGGTTGCAGTCAAATGATCGGAGACGATACTGCCATCTGGTAGATATCCAAAGTTCGTACAGCTTATAAATATTTAACGGATGTGGAGTATAGCATGCGAATATTCAGAATTGTTAAACAGCATGCTCATTTGTGATCCGCGCGCAAGAATCGATCATGCAATGTGATTTCTGTTTGTGCCACGCAATAGGAGTAATGTAAACTCTCAAAGCAACTCTAACCGATCCCTAAAAAGCTTTAGACAAACAATATTTTCACTTTTCCTTCACTAAACTACGCCTAACCGATCCCTTAAAAGTTTTAGAGGAGTAGTTATTCTCCACGGCCCCCCTGACTCTATATTTACTTGGCCGTCTACCCACAGAGTAAAAAGTGTCCCCCTTCACCCTCAGCTGCACCCACCAAACCCCGTGCCGCATCCACTTTGGCGCCGCTACCGAGTAAAAAAAATATTTTGTAGATGATGGCTATGGGGCAGTAATTTTCGCACCAAGGGGTGCCTCCTCGAAAAAGTAAGGTCTCCCATCAATGTTGTTTTTAGGGTCTCCCATCAATATATAAGTGGGTGCATCTAACATCGGTTATCTAGCCCCATAGTCCATTGGTCCAAGGCCCTTGGGCATGTTTAGAGTCCTAAAAACCTTACATATCTTCTCATGAGCCCATAGGATCAAACCACGTTGATATCATCAAGTTTAGAAGGAGTGGGAGTCAATCCCTTCGCCCCCAGTTTTGGATTTCCGAAAGTGTCAGTTTTTATAAATATTGAATTGGACCCACAGGCTGCATACAGACTCGTAGTGGGTGATTACAAGTGCTACGATATTTTTATTATGTGGGTATTAACTTTCATGTTTCGTCTTTCTTTGTTTGACTCCATCTTTAGGGGTCCTAGTGACGATCCTTAAATATTGGCCCTGCAGGAACAAGTTTGCAATAACTTCAAATTTGAACGGACCTTGAAGTTTATTGATATTTCATTGGATTTCCATGAAGTTCCTACACATATAAGAGTAAACAAGAACTTTTGCATGTCTTGCAACTATTAGTAGGTTAGTCCAAATAAATATTAAAGTTTGCATAAAAGACAAGGTAGTGACATGAAACATACAAGATTATAGACAAGTAAAGTATCATTCATGTTTCTAAAAAATTCTGAAATTAAAATGTTATTCTCAAAAAATAATAGTCATATGTGTAAATAATGTTCATTGCATGTGCGGTTCCCCAGTAAATTGCGCAATGAGTGTCAAATATAATTTGCTAAATCCTTTTCCTCGCGTAGGTTGCTGGTTAGTGACCAATCGCGCACACTAGCCCATGCTATTTGGACAACCAGTATAATGTTTTTCTTTTCTTTCCCCCCTCAAATTTTAGGAAGGTTCTAGAACATAATTAACCCATTTCCCCCCTTTTCTATGTTTCCCCTATTGGTATTTCCAGTTTTCATTCTGTTTTACGTTTTCTTTTCTATTCATTTTTTAATTCTTAGACATTATCCAAATTCATGATTTGTTTGGAATTCATGAAGTTTATTATATTTCATGTATTTTTTAAACTAGATGATGCCCCGCGCGTTGCTGCACGGACCTTGCTAATAAAATGCAAAAATAGTTGCTATAGAAACATCTGAAACTATTGGAAAGCAAATGTAAACTTATAAAAAGAGACAAAAATAAATTGCAGTTAAAGGAATGACAATTCTAACAAAATGTAAAGCATGACCATGGCTAGGAAAAATAGATAGTGGATTTTAGCTATTTAGAAATAGAATATTTAAGAACATTGTTTGGTTCCCCGAATAACTTTCAAAACTGGCTAATTTTTAAAATTTTGGAATATTTTAAAAGTTTGCATTTTTTTAAATTCATGAGAAATTTGTGTAAATTTTATTAAATTCATACATTTTTTATTTTAAAATATTTTCTATAAGTATGGAACATCTTCTAAATTTTGTGAACATTTTAGATTTCAGAAATATTTTTCAATTCTTGCTTCTTTTAAAAATATTTTTTATTTCAGTACATTTTAAATATGTTATTCAATATTTCTTGAAAATTATCACTAACATATTTTAGAATCGGGACATTCTCCAGAACTTATTGCGGCCAGACAATGAAACAACATTGTCGGCGCTAGGTAACATGGTGCCATTGTCGGTGAAGAGAAATGGAAAGATGAGCAAGAAGGGAAACATGCTTTTCTTGAATTGTAGTGGCATTTTCAAAAAAATTCTTCACAATGTACAATGTAGTGATTGTAGTGTAATTTTCATGTTATAAATTACAGTTTTGAGAAGATACTTTTTTTTAATTTATGGCTTGTATGCATGAGTTGCTTGTGTGCATGGTTGTGTGGCTAGGAAAAATAGGTCATGGGTTGTAGCTATTTAAAAATAGAAGATTTCTAAACATTGTTTGGTTCCCGGATAACTTTCAAAACTGGCTATTATTTTAAAAAAATTGGGATATTTTAAGTTTGCGATTTTTTAAATTCATGAAAAAATCGTGAACATTTTATAAAATTCAGGATTATTTTAAATTTGTGAACTTTTTAAATAATTAGGGAACATTTTTTAATTTTGTGAACATAAAATTCTTGATTATTTAAAAAATATAAATAGCTGGGATTTTTCAAAAATTTGAAACTTTATTTAAAATCTCTTGAAAATTTTCACTAATATATTTTATAAGACGGAGCATTTTCTAAAACTCATTGCAACCTCACAACGCAACATCATTGTTGGTGGCAGGTGAGATGGCGCCTTTGTCAGGCGACATGGCATTTTCAGAAATTTTCTTGGCAATGTAGAATGTAGTGATTTTAGTGTCATTTTCTTGTTATAAATTGCAGTATTTTCAGGCCCTTGATAGTGACAGTAGCTCTGATTCAAATACCTATGAAAGTGGCAATATTACGGCACAAATAACTTAGCAATTAACATCATCGAGATCCAGTTGCACAATCAGTTGGCTTACTTAATCGATAGTGTTTTACATGAGAGAGAGAGAGGAGTAAATAGCATAAAACTACTACTTTACAGGTTAGGGTTCAAAAAAATTATCGGTTTTTATTTTTTCACTGATAACTATCAAGTCAGGGGTTGTCTGTTTCAAAAAACCCTAATCACAGAGTGCTTTTAAGTTGATCGCGATTATGATAGTTGGGACCCACACGTAAGAGAACCGTTTGTTTGTCTGTTACACATGTAGGGCCCACATGTCAGTATCTCTGTAAGTTTTTTAAAAAGCAATTGGATCCCTATAACTTTTAAAAAAAGCAATCAGGTCCCTAACTGTTTTATGGAAAAAGGAATCGGGCCCTTGCTCCTCGGTGCGCGCTCTCCCGTGCTCAAGACCGAGAGGAGCGCGCTCGTCGCCGTGCTCGCCGGCCAGCAACCGCCGTGATGAGTGCGTCGGCCAGAAGCCATGGCGCCACTACGGAGATCCCTCCTGTCGCCCTTCGCCCGTCCAATGTGCGCCGCCGTGGAGCTCCCTTCCAGCGTGTGTGGCGGCCGCGGCCTCTTCCTGGCGGTGAGCTACGCCTGCGGTCGTCGTGAGCTCCCCCGCTGCACGACCTCTCTCGCTCTCTCTCTCTCTCTCTCTCTCTCTCTCTTCCTCCCTCCCTCCCTCTTTCCTAGGCGCGACGACCTGAGCCCCTGGCTATGGAGCTCGGCTGGCGGCGGCCCGTGATCCTGTCCATGGCGCAAGGATGGCGGCAAACCCATGCCCCTGGACGTGGCGGGCCAAGTCCCTGCCCCCCTGGCCATGGTGCACGGCTGGTGGCGGCCCGTGC